CCGATGGTCATCCCTTTTATGACCGCAGACAGCTTTGCGGCTGCCAGACCCTGCAGTCCTGGCAAGTCCAGGGTGCATCTCTATGTTCCCAAGAGGCTTGAGTCTCCTGTATTCACGCCTCTCTACTTGGATACCTCAGGATTGAGGCTCTTCTCCTTCTCCCAGACATACCTGCTGTCCCTCCAACCCATCTCCCTCTCAGTCAGTGGTAACTCCTCCTAACGACTCAGGCTGGGAACCTTGAAGCTATCTTGACTCTTCTAATTATGGTCTATCAGTTAATCCTGTGGAGTCTACCTTCAAAAGGTACCAAGCCGGGAGGATGTGGCATGCCTTTAATCCCAGCACTCAGGAAGCAGAGGCAGGCGGGTCCCTGGGAGTTCTAGGCTAGCCTGGTCTACTGAACCAGCTCCAGGACAGCTTCCAAAGCTACAGAGAAACCCTGTCTCAAAAAAGGAAAACCAAAACCAACCAACCAACCAACCAAACAAACAAAAATCTGGCCCTATCTTACTACCTCTACCCCTAACCCCTGAACCACACCATCCTCATATCATGCTTGTACTGGCGCAGTAGCTTCCCCATTGGAATCAGCATCTAGCCTACTCCAAACATGGCTTTTGTGACACTCCCATGCTCCTTCCTTCCATTTGGTATAAAAGCAAAGTGCAGAGCAGTGGCCGAGCCTGAGCGCATTTCCCAGCGCCCCCTCGGCTCCTCCCCCAGCGCCCCCTCCGCTCTTCCCCCCAGCGCCCCCTCCGCTCTCCCCCCAGCGCCCCCTCCGCTCTCCCCCCAGCGCCCCCTCCGCTCTCCCCCCAGCGCCCCCTCCGCTCTCCCCCCAGCGCCCCCTCCGCTCTTCCCCCAGCGCCCCCTCCGCTCCTCCCCCAGCGCCCCCTCCGCTCTTCCTTGTCTCCTACCTTTCTCCCCGTTTACCTTCTGCCAGCGATACTGGCCTCCTTGCTGCTCATCAGGCACGGCCAGGGTGTCTCCTCTGCCTAAGCTTCTCCAGGGCTTGCTCTCCCTCCCTCCAACCTTTCTGAGGGTTATTCTCAGCATGCCCTTTCGTGAGAACCCTAAATAAAGCAGACAACAGAGACTCAGCAGCGGCAGTGACTGTCCTCCTCCAGCCCTCTTTCTCCATAGGCTTAGCATCCTCTGCCATCGCATACTCACCGAGCGTGAGCTTTATGAGAGCAGAAACACTCCGCTTTATTCCTAGAGGAAAGACCTGCAGAAGGACTCAGAAATATCTGTGAAACAAAACAGGCAGCGGCGTGGAAACTTTAGTCCCAGCACTCGGGAGGCAGAAGCAGGTGGGTCTCTGTGACTTTGAGGCCAGCCTGGTCTACAGAGTGAGTTCCAGGACAGGCTCCAAAGCCACAGAGAAACCCTGTCTGGAAAAACAAAACAAAACAAAATAAAGTGTGTGTGTGTGTGTGTGTGTGTGTGTGTGTGTGTGTGTGTGTGTGTGTAGGTGGGTCAAAGAATATCAACATGGCACGCCCGTGGAGGTTCAAGGGCAACTTTTGGAGTTGGTTTTCTCCTTCTATCATATGGATCTTAGAGAATAAACTCAGGTTGCCATGCTTAGCAGCAAGTCCCTTTACTACTGAACTTTGTTTTAAGGTAAAGTCTCACTATGTAGTCCTGACTGGCCTGAAATATACTATATAGACCAGGCCGGCCTCAAACTCAGAGATCAGTCTGTCTCTGCCTCCCGAGTGCTGGGCTTAAAGGCATGCACTGTTATGCCCAGTCATTTTATCACCCTTTATTTTGTTATGTATGTATGTATGTATGTATGTATGTATGTATGTATGTATGTATTGAGACAGGGCTTTTCTGCATAGCCCTGGCTGTCCTGGAATTCACTCTGTAGACCAGATCTACCCACCTCTGCCTCAAGTGCTGGGATTAAACACATGGCATACCATTGTCTGGCTTGATCACTTTATTACCTTTTTTAAAAAATTATTTACTTTTTATTTATTTATTTGAGATGAGGTTTATTACCTTAAAGGATATAAAAATGTGCTGGGGAAACATACAGTTAAATATCTGACTCCACTAACAAAGCATATAAGGTTTCCTTCACATTTCAACCTTCCCTCTCCCAGGTAACAGTTGAACCAAGCAATGCTTTGGTTGGACTCTCTATTCTTGTGTAATTTTTCTTTTTCAAGACAGAGTTTCTCTGTAGCTTTGGAGCCTGTCCTGGAACTCATTCAGTAGATCAAGCTGGTCTTGAACTCACAGAGATCCACCTGCCTCTGCCTCCCGAGTGCTGGAATTAAAGGTGTGCGCCACCACCACCGGGCTAATTTTTTTTTTTTGGATAATTTTTTTGGGGGGGCTTTCTATTCTTTTCCTGATATTTCAATATTAATCATAATTGATAAATCACTAGAATGTGGGGGAGGGGTGTGGCTCAGAGGCAAGCTCTTACAGAATGTTCAAGGACCCAGGTTCCATTCCCTAGCAATACAAAATAAATAGCAATACTGACAACACACTGCAGTTAGAAAAAAAGAATTTTAGACCTGATATTTCATTTCAGACAAGTGAAAAAATTGAAGTATCAACCACTGGCTTTTTCCAGTTTCTGGGAACTGCAGGCTAGAGTAGAAACTAAACAAGACAGTATCTGGGGACAGGGACGTGACTCAGTAGGTAAGCACCTTTGCTGTGCAAATGTAAGGACATGGTACAAGTCTGGTGTGGTTAGGGGCACACTTATACCCCAGCACTGTGATAGGGAGGTGGACACTGGAGGATTACTGGGCCGTCAGCCCAGCCCCCAGGTTCAAGGACAGCCTGTTCAATGAAAGATCCTGTCCCAAGGGAATAAGGCAGAGGTGACGATAAAACAGGATACCTAAGTTCCTCCTCTGGCCTCTGCACAGGATCACTTTGTACACACACACACACACACACACACACACACACACACACACACACGGGAAACAATCGAAGGAGGCCAGCTTGAGGCCCCTGTCCTCAGAGAAGGTAGTGGGGCTCTACATGTTTCGAATAGGCCTCATTTTGTCCCCATTCCCATTTCCACCCACGTGTAGCCAGGCAGCCGCCCCTACTGGTTGCTCAGGTTGGACAAGGACTGTGTGCTAGTGGCTGGTATTTTCCCTTAAAGCATCTTGGCAGGATTCCTGGCAGTTTAGATCCTTGGATATCACGGGCTGGGCAGGTGGCTGTACTTTATCAACAGGATGAGTCTTACAGGTGTTTCACATGGACGAAGCCTGTTCCCTGACTTCCCCAACTCAGGGTCTAAGGGACATCTACATTCTCTCTGCTTCTTAGATGTGGCCCGATTTACCACCAAGCATAGCTTTTTCTGTCAAATGAATACAGGGACTAAGGAGGCAAGCAAGTTGGCTACTGTGATTTCTGCCTCTTTTTTTTAACTGGAAAACGGACTTGACATAGACCTGGCAATTAGAGCCAGCCTGTGAATACTGGCAGAGTTCCTCTCCACCATTGGAGGCAGAATGATGTAATGGAAAGAGTTCAGGTCTGGGACACTAATAGGTAGGCCCTTCTTAGCCACCACCTCATGACCAGCCCTTTCCCTCTCTCCCTTTCCCTCTCTTTGCCTCAGTTTCCTAAATTTAAAGCAAGAGGATTGGCCCGGATGGCTCCAGAGGCATTATGGAAGCTGTTTTTTCCGGGTCCCCAGCTGTTGTGTGTTCCAAAAGGATCTTCACGGACACAACTTATTATTGCTCAGTGTTTTATTTACTGTGTAAATTCCATTCAAAAGTACGGGATCATGATTGGAATTAAGAGTAGTCCCCAGCCACCACTGCACCAGGCAGCGTTCAAGCACAGCCAAGTGCTGTGGCTTTAAAGTTAAGTAAGATGGAAGGAAGCCTCCCTTTGGGCTGTACACAGCTGAGTCAAGGAGTCGGATGAGTCAATCAGTTACTTCACTGCACTGTGAAAAACACTACTATAGCATGTTTATAAGGCACACGCGGAGAATGGCCATATAAACCTGGGGTGGAGCCCTCTGTGGTCTCCTGGGGGAAGTGACACGGAAGGGGGGGGGGGATGCATCACCTACGTGAAGCGAACGGAATGGGGATCAATTCTCTTAGAACGCGGTGTGTGTGCTCAACCTGTCTGCCACCTGTCATTCTACATGTCTCTTCCCTTAAAGACCAACATTTCTCCTAGCGTCTAACTAGCAATTCCTCGGGCCTGGAATGTGACTGGAAATTAAAATGGAGGAGCAGGTTTTGAGGAGGTTGGAAAGCTGAGTGGTCTCTGGCACTGCCCCCCCCCCCCGAGGCAGAGGAACTATGGGCTCCAACAGCATCATATTTAATTCGTCCGTTGAAATGTTGAAAAACCCGCATTCGGTTCCCTTGGCTTCCATTGTGTCCTGCTGTCTGGTGGGAAGAATGAGTTGGAGGGACCGCAAGGCGGTCGGAGTCTGAGAAAGCCCTGCAGTCATGGCAGGCTTCTTGGAGAAGGTGTCGCGCCGGAAAGGTGAGGACTAGCCGGACTAGTTAGGCTAGACGCCTTGCCTCCTAGATCCCGGGCTGCCACCCTTGCCGCGTTCGACCTTTGTTCCTGCCCAAACCTCCCACCAGGCGAAGCGGTGTCGTTATCAGTTCCCCCTTTCTGCGCCGCGCGTGGCTCGAGGCTCGCCCTCGGCGCCTGCTTCCTGGCCGCGCGGGGCCGCGGGCACATCCCGGGGCTGCGAAGTGTCCTCGGTGGCGCAGCCAGGCCCCGCCTCCAGGCCCGCAGTTCAAGTGCAGGCTCGGAGCGGCGAGCCGGGGCGCACCTCGGCGGCGCAACCTGCGGGCTGCGGGGCAGCCTCCTCCCCGCCGCGCCGGCTGGCGGGAGCGGACGGAGGCCGGCGGGCGCTGCCCGTTAGCAGCCGAGGCGGCACGAACCAACCTCCTAATTACTCAGCACGCTAATTGCCCGGCACTGAACTTCGGGAGCCTGTCCGAAGCGGAGCTCCGGGGCGCAGCGGGGGCAGGAGGTGTCTGGGGCTGGGCTCCGCCAGGGTTAAGTGCCCGCCCGTCCCCGGCTGGCGGCCAGCTCGCCTTCCTCGGGAGGCCGGAGTCACCGCCCGGGGACCGGGACCCGGACCACACCGGACCCCCTTCCCCCATCGCCGCCTCTAGGAGGCGCAGAAAGTGGGGGCGCCAGCCTGGCGCGGGGGGCGGGCGCGGAGAGCCAGAGGGGCTGCGGGGACACCGAGATGGCCGATGAGATCGACTGGCTCGACCTGCCAGGCCGATGGACCTACGGAGTGGATCGCGGCGGGAGAATCTTCTTCATCAAGTATGTAAAGCTCTTGCTCGCCTCTCTCCCGCCCCCACCCCCACCCCGTTTCCACTTTTTCTTTAAAGTTGTCCCACTTGAAAGGTGGCAGGGCTGGGGGTCAGGCTGGGGGGGGCAAAGGGAGGGGTGGCTGACTAATAAGTTTACCAAGATACCTGTTTGAATATGACTCCCGCCTTTTTCCTCAATGGGTCAAAGTCCAGCTAAGGCTCACAGGCTTCCTTCCCTGAGCCAGAGAGGCAGGGCAGGCAAGGCCTCTTCCCCCCCCCCCCCCCGACCGCTGCACCCCACCGCAAGCTCTTTCTGCTCTTACAGTAACAGGAGGCCAGGCAACTTCTCCAGACTTGGGCAAAATGACAACGTATTAGGAGCCCCTGCCCCTGCCACCTGCTCGCTGCCAGGCTCCAGTCCCCAGCACAGCAGCTCCTCCCCCCTGCCTGCTGCTTCCGAGTCTGTGGTCAGGAGGAAGGAGAAGCCCGATGCTTGATTCTTTGCTGCTCTCAGTGATAAATTAGCACCGTTCTATTAATTTCATAAACCAAATGGCTGTGGCATAATCTCATTATAGCAAAGTGGCCTGTTTGGCCCCCTTTTGGCTGGCTTCTCTTACAGTCCGTCGTTCTTTGCCAGGAAAGAAATCTCCCAATGATATAGCAAGTGTATAGCACAGCAGTTTGGACTGTTCCCACAATTGACAGGCTTCCTCTTCCACAAGATAGTCACTCAGAGAGCATTAGAGCTCAAGATAGCAGAGTTGCAGCCCCTGCATTGTAACCGCAGGACCCAGGGTCTGGAGAGATGCACAGTACCCGTCTGAGAGCTCACTTTCTCTTTTGTAGGGGCTTGTCCCATGCATGGTTGGTTGTTTGGGGTTTCTGTTTTCTGCACTTGCTTAACACTTTCTTCTGCCGTTATCACCACTATTTATCATAATTGATGCTGAATTACATTATCATAGCAGTAATTTCACTGAAGTTCTTGGCCCTGGGTTAGGATCCTAAGTAACAGAACATCTCCAGGATTAAAAAGAGAATCCCTTCCCGAAGTGGCTTGAGCCTTCAAAGCCCATACAAATCATCTAGTGTAAGTGTGGTGGAGTGTGCCTTGTGGCCTCAGCTACCAAGGAGGCTGAAGCAGGGAGACGACTTGACCTAAGAGTTTGAGGTAGAGACCTCAAAAATAAAAAATAAACTAAAACTAGAAATCATCCAATGAGCTCACCGAAAAGACTCCTTCCGGGCTGGGTGTGGCAGTGCACACCTTCTGTCCCAGCACTTTGGTGTCAGAGGAAAGGGGTCTCTGAGTCTCAGGCCAGCCAACGTTACATAGCAAGACTGTCTCAAAAAACAAAAACAAACAAAAAGGACTGATCCGCCCCCCCAAGCCCCCCACCCTCGCCCACCTACCCCACCCCTGCTGGTACCTATTCTGAGTAGAGACAGCCTGATGGTCTGAAATCCCAGGAGCTCCCACTGTGGTCCCAACGTGACCGAGTTTGCTTCCCAGTTTTTCCTCCTAACCTTCCCTTTCCATCTCACAGCCTCACATGGAGCATCCACTCTTTCCAGCTACACAAAAATAAACACAGTAAGCTATACACGTTGCCTTGACGGTGGTGGGAGAAACCTAGGAGTAATGTGATATGTCCAGGCACTGACTTGTGTGATGCTGACCTGGGAACCCAGATGGGAAAACCCAGGCCGTGAAGGGAGAGCAGGGATGCTATCCGAGGAGTCAACGCCCTTGGGCAGTGGCAGGCCTTGTAAGAGAGGCAGGGTGGGCTCAAGGTAAAGGTGCTTAGAGCCCTCTTGGGTCACAGTGGAGATGGAGTGGAAGGTTGGGGGTTGCCGAGAAAATAAGACAGAAAAGCAAGAATGGGCAACATGAGCAACAAGGGGTCAAGACTCTGTCCTGCAAGAGACAGAAAGCCCCAGGTGACTTTACCTCATAGGATTTGCATCCAGTAGGATTCCTCTGGTAACTGTGAGGGCTGGGGGGATGTGTGTGAGTGCCTGTGCATGTGCGCATGTGCTCCAGAATAGAACATGGTTAGGGTTCGTGCATGCATGCCTGTGTGTGTGCATGTGCGTGTGCATGTGCATGCATGTGTGTGTGGGTATGCGCGTGAGTGTGCATGTGCGTGTGTGCCTATGATTGCATGTGTGTGTATGTGCATGTGTGTGCGTGCATGTGTGCGTGCACACTCCAGAAAAGAAAGAACATGGTTAGGAAGCTGCTGTGAAAGCTGGAAGTCTGAGACCACTACTGGGGCCTGAACTAAAGCAGGGAGAATGGGGAGGAAGAGGTGTGAGCAGAGGAACATCTCTCCTTGGGAGAGGATTAAGAGTGTCCCCATGGCTGAATGTGTGGAAGGAAGGGACTAGGCACCTTACAAAGTCTCGCTCAAGTTCCATGGAGACCAAGACAAATGGACAAGGAGACCAGCTTGTGTGTATGTTGGGGAGCGGGCATAAGCTCATTGGTGAAACTCTCAACTTGAGATCCCTGTGTGTCATCTATAGGGTTCTGTAGCAGCTGGCTACATTATCTGGCATGTGAGAGAACCCTGGGCTAAAGAGGGTCCGCTAGGAGTTGTTCTGCAGAGGTGGGACCTCCCCGAGTATGAGCGAGGGGACAGTAAGATATCCAGGCAGCATCAGAATTTACGGCGAGAATAGGGAGAGACCGGCCAGCTTGGGAATGAGACCAAAGGGGGCCTGGGGTGAGCAGTACCAGGATTGGAGAAGAGAGAAGATGGAGGGAGCTTGAGAAAGAATTAGGAAGGGGTGGTCGGTAGTGGTCAATACAGCAGAAAAGCCCAAAGAGTCAAAGGCTAGGAAGTGGCTACTGGTCTTAGGAGTGTGGAGGGCTGTCTGTCCTTAGTGGAAAGTGGTTTCAGGGGAGGCTGGGAACAGCGAACACAATAATGGGGATTGGCAGGCAGGATGTCAGCAAGCAGGGGAAGTAGGAGATGCTGGAGGGATGCTGGATTGAGAAGGAGGGTGCAGAGAGGAAGCTGGAGGGGAGGTGTCACTTGGAGATGGGGAATTGTGTCCACATGAGACATGGACAGCGGGGGAAGGTGCTGCATGCCACGGGAAGGTGCCATTTGTGATTCAGCTGGGGCTCCCAGGAGATGAGGCTATAAAGGATGGGCAAGAGTAGGAAGACAGTCCTAGGAGAGCGCTGGCCCCAGAGGAGAGAAGGCTTGCTTCTCCAGTGTAGAGGCAAGAAAGAAGGACAGTTGAGGAACTGTGTATGCTTGCAGGCAGGGTAGATACTCCGAGAACCTGGTGATGATTTCTTGGGTTACAGGCCGTAGTGAGTGCAGCGCAGCAGGGTGTGAAGGAGAGGCAGGCTGGCACTCAAGACCAGTGGGGGAGGCCCTGGAACTAGAGTGGCCACACACTGATAACCTACAAAGGACATAATTCTAGCTGGGGACTGGATCTGTAGGGACACCAGTCCTCCCAGGTCAGTACTAAGGCCAGGCTGGGCTGTCAAGGCAGGTGGGAGGGGATAAACAGAGGGAGCTGAAGGCTGTGGTGGAAACGCCATCCTGTGCCGGAGCTGGAGCTGTCCACAGCATTCAGGCGAGGTGGAGATGGAGGGAAGTCTGGGGGAGTAACTGCACTGTGTGAGAAGAGGGCTGGGTCCTGGAGGCTGAGTGCGCTGGCTCCCTGCAGCCCTTTGCATTCCTGGCCTTCCTCTCTGGCTTCTAGCCAATACCAAACGCAGACCCAAGGCCCCACTATTAGAGGCCATCTCCTACAGCTCCCAGTGGCTTCAGAGTGCAAGAGGTCACTAGAATTGTGCCTTTGTTTATTCTCTGCTTGACAGAGGGGTGGGTTAGTGGGAAAGTCTCTGTACAGCAGGTGGTCCAGCTTCAGGGGTGGGTTAGTGGGAAAGTCTCTCTGTGGTTCAGCTTCAGAGAAAGAGTTAATGAAGTTGGTGGATGTGGGGGGCACACGCCTTTAATGCCAGTACTTGGGATGAAGGCAGATCTCTGTGAGTTGGAGGCCAGCCTAGTCTATAAAGCAAGTTTTAGGCCGGGCATTGGTGGAGCATGCCTTTAGTCCCAGCACTTGGGAGGCAGAGGCAGGCGGATCTCTGAGAGTTGGAAGCCAGCCTGGTCTACAGAGCAAGCCTCCAAAGCAATACAGAGAAACCCTGTCTCAAAAAACAAAACAAAAGAAACAAAAAAACAAAAACAAAACAAAACAAAAAAGCGAAAGCAAGTTTCAGGATAACCAGGGCTGTTACAAAGACAAACCCTGCCTTGAAAAACAAACCACAATTAATGAAGTCAAAAGCAAAAGCAAAAGGGCCTATGTCCCCTCACGACCCACAGGTGTTCACAGCAGCTTTGCTCATATTAGCTCCAGCAGAGACAAAGCTGTACGTCTATCGCACAGGAGTGGATGGGCACACTGGTGCGTCCTTCACGGGATGCTGCTAAGGACCATTCATGAATTTCTAACCCTACAGCATGGAAGGAAGGGAAAGGGAAGGGAGTTAAGATAGAGAATCCCTTCTAAGATAGTGGAATTCCTTCTGTGTAACCAGACACTCGCTGATGTGTGTGCAAAGCAGATGGGTGTGGCTATGGGGGGGATTGGAAGACCTGGGGGGGTGGACAGGGCTGGGAGGATGAGAGAGGGGGGCCGGCACAAAGAGTTGGGGGTTCATTATCTTCTTTTGGTGGCAGCTTTCAAGGTGTTCTTCACATTTGTCAGAACATTAATTTATACATGCGTGCAGTTTCTTGTAAGTCTTACTATACTAAAAGTTGAGTAGGCTCTTTCTTTGTGGCGTTCATGCATGCCAATTGTTCCCGACACAGAGTGGAGTGGAGTCTAATCTCATGCCCCACCCTAGAGCCTGGGCCACCTGGAAGTGTCCGCTCCTCTCCTTGTCCACCCTGATATGGCCAAGACCGGCAGACAGGAGCTTCATGTTGGGACACATCTGGAAGAATTAGTGTCCCTTGGGTGGTGGGGTTGAAGAAAATCTACGATCTCCTTTGCCCTCAGATAGACGGTGTGGGGAGCCCACCTTACTGGGTGTAAGATACTAGAAGCATATTGGCATTGGAGAGTGGGCAGGTCTCTGAAACCTGGCTTCGTCATTTTCTAGTGTGACCTGGGAAAGTTATGTAACTTCTCTGAAGCTCAGATTCACAAGTGGAACCCAGGGTCTTATGCATGCAAGGCAAGCTCTCTACTATAGATCTGCCCTCTATCCTTTTTTATTTTTTTATTTTTTTGAAATAGCATTTCAAAATGCTATGTAGCTCTGGCTGACCTGGAACTTGGTATGTAGATCATGCTGGCCCCCAACTCACAGAGTACCTGCTCTGTCTTCCAAGTGCTGGGGTTAGAGGCGTGGGTGACCACACCCAGCTTTGTTAGATTTTTCCATGGAGGGAATGCTGTGCCTGAAAATGTACACCGATGCTGCCATGCAGGACTCCTCATAGTGACCACCTCTCGGCCGCCCGAGGAACTGCTTGTTAGAGGCCCCCCACAGTGGGTCCACTGTGGTAGCTGTGCACCAGCAGCCTATGGAGCCTGTCACAGTGTGCCGTCTGCACCATCACAGTGTGCCTGAGTCACGGTGCGTCTTCATCACCGTAAGCCTACTCATGTCTGTGTTCCTGTTGGACTAGTGGATTCCTCAAAGCCAGGGATTAGATGTCGCTTACCTCTGAAGCTTCAGGGTTAGCCTTGCTGATACAAACAAATGCATGGCATAGCAGGGTGGGCGTGGCCATCTCAGGAGGCCAGAGCTCTGCTCCTGGAAGCCGTCTGTGGACTTGACCCTTCCTTACTGCTTCTTCCACAGTGATGAGGAGAAGTCAACCAGCTGGGTGCACCCTGGTACGGACACAGCCATCCAGAGTGGATACGCCTCCAGCCCAGGTAAGGAGTCACCTGCAGTTTGCAACCTTTGCAGTTAATGAGGCGACAACAGTCTAAGATGGTCACAGGAACCCCTGGTCCTAGACCTGCTTCTTAACGTCTGCTTTGCCACGGGTGGACTCATGCTAGCATCTGAACAGACCCTGGGGAGTAGTGCAGGTCACCCGTAAGGGGTACGTTTCTACTATTCGTATCGGGGACAGATCTTAGAGCACAGATCAACCTCAAGGTGTGTTTGCCACCTGTGCTACTTAATACAGTCGTGCTAGTGAGCGACGAGAACGTGGCCAGTCCACAGTGGGCCGGAAGAGATTTTAATCAATTTAAACGCAAATGGCCCTTGGTTGGCGGGACTTCTTGAGCTGGGGAAAAGAGGCCAAGGCTGCTCTCTTTCTTGCCTTCTTAGATCTGCCAGGCACAGCCCAACGACACACGCGAGAAATATTTCACTTGGGGTTACAGTGGAAAAGATCCTGGGAATCAGAAGGCCTGCAAGTGAATGAAAGGCCTTCCTCTAGGGAGGGAGAGGGCAGTACTGTGGGCCGGTCTCCTGGCCCTTTCCAGCCTGTGCCTGGCCCGACACCGGCCTTGATCCCTCGCAGGGCACAACCAGCTCAGCTGCACCCTCTGGGTTAAGGCACTGACTTGCCTGGAGTCTGCTTCATTTAGGTCTGGGCTGGATTCATGGCTTAGGGCTGCAGGGACCATGGGGTTCAACTCTTGCATTTTAGGGGAGGAAAATGAGGGACAGAGAGGAAGTACTTGGCTCAGGGCCACCTGGCTAATAAGTGAAGCAGGGGTCATGGTGAACTGCACATTCAGAGGTGCAGAGAGACCTGATTCCGGTGGCGGGGCCTCGCCGTTAGTCGCCTCTCTGGCACCTTTGGGACATGGTTTCTTGTATTTGTGTAAGTTCAAGAGGATTATGAACCTTACAAGGTGGTAGCAAGTGTCATGCAAAAAAAAAAAAAAAAAAAAAAAAAAAAAGCTGGCACCATAAGAAGTGACTGGGTGCGGGGTGGCGGCGGGGTGTTTGCGGGTGCCGCTGTCCCGTCTCCAATGCGAGAGAAGGGAGACCCCTGCCACCATGTCACAGCTGGTTCCTTCTGCTGGCTCGGGGGCTGGTGAAAGCCCTCAGCTGCTCCAACTGGAGCAGCATCGCCCTAGGTAGGACTTGGAAGGTTCTGAAGAGCCCTGCGGTGGGTGGATGGGTAGGGAAGGAGTTAAGATGCCCCCGAAGCTTGCTGGGAGGGCAGCTGCCTGAGCGGGCACTCCGCCTGGACAGGAACATAAGCACCCTTGGTGTTGCCCAGGCAGAGAGGGCAGTGTGGACGGAAGTCGCTAGAAAAGGCAGAGGACAGAACCCGCCCTGGCCTCTTTCCCAGCACACCACAGTGGCAGGATTATTTATGACTCTGACCCAATGGGGATCCCTCTACGTGGGGAGGCTGCCAACCCACACCCTGCTGAATGGGAGCGGCCTCCCACGGGGACAGAGGGGGACAAGTAGCATTTATGGAGCCACACAGAGGCAAGAGTGTAGGCTTTGGAGGTGGCAGACCCCAGCCCAGACGCTGCCTGTGTGACCTTAAGCAACTTGATTACCCTGTCTGGGCCTCAGCTTCCCTCTTGGTCCCACACCCAGTGCATTGCATACTGTACATCAGCTACGTTAGTGGAAGTGTCACGCATGTCTGAGAAGGGGTACTCCAGGAGTGGCAGCTGCTGAGATGGCATGGTATCCTCTGGGCCAATTCCTGGGGGAGGGGGGCCAGGGGCCGAGCCCCACCACGGTCTTGCTCTGCTGAAGCAGCAACAATGACTAAAACGATGGGTCAGAGCTGGGCCAGCCACTCTCCGAGCTCAGGCTCTGCTCTGCGTGTGTGTGCGCTGAAGCAGGTGGTAAGAGGGTGGGAGACTGAGACTAACAGAGGGTGCCTGTGTCTTGTAACCCCCTGCCCAAGGCGCTGGAAGGTGGGACCTGGCTAGGATGCCTATTTTGGTGGAGTGAGCAGGCGGGCTGGCTAGTTCTATGTCAACCTGACTCATGCTAGAGTCATTGGAGAGGAGGAAGCCTCCATTGAGAAAATGTCTCTAGGAGATCAGGCTGTGGGCAAGCCTGCAGGGCATTTTCTTAATTAGTGATGGATGCCAGAGTGTCCAGCCCATTGTGGGTGGTGCCATCCCTGGAGGCTGGTGGTCCAGGGTCCTACACGAAAGCCGTAATGAGCAGGGCAGTAAGCAGTGCCTTCCCGTGGCCTCTGAATCACGCCTGCATCGGCTTCCGGGTTCCTGCCCTGAGTACCTGCCCTCACTTCCTTTGATGATGAACAGTGATTTGGAGGTGTAAACCAAATGAACCCTTTCCTCCCCATGGGGCACTGAGACATAAAGTGGGGTGTGGAATGTTTGTTAGGGGACAAGTCCCTGGGGGAGGACTGGGCTAGCAACGGCAAGGCCTAGCTAGCCCATGGTGCTTCATCACAGCAGAAGCGACCCTAAGACAGCAGGTAAGTTGCGACCTCACCAGGCTTTCTGGATGCAGTGTCCGTAGCCTCCTGGCCTAAGTGAACTTCCTCAGCAAGTCAACCCTTGTCACTCTGAGATTCTGCTAGTGACCTCTTGGAGCTTCCCTGTGGATACTCCCCCCTCTTCTCCCCAGAGATGCCATTGAAATTCAAAAGACAGTATCTGTTTTCTGGGACCTGTTTCTCAGGCCCTCAGTGTCCTGTGGCAAAGCCGCAGTTTGGAGGTCCCAACGCTGGCCTGGGATTCAGAGACTTGGGTCCCACTTAGATCTCGAGTGCTAAGGACCTTTGAGTCCTGGGTGAGCTGCCCACCCTTGGCTCTGGCTTTGCCTCTGCGATGAGGGGGTCAGAGGACCCCGAGGACCTTACAGGACAAGCACCTGTGGGTCCCCTGCTGTGTGTCAGGGTCTGGCTCTAGACCTGGCCCAGTGTAGATGCTCAGAAGAGGTTTGTGGGGTAAATAAGGAAGAGCATCGAGCAGTGGTTCATTTTGTTGCCTTGCTCTTTGATGTGCTCATCTCCGGAAGGCCTGTCCATCTACAGTCATCTCCCATCCTCACGGGGCACTAGAAATAATGGGCAAAAACAGTGCAAAAAGCTGCAGTGACTGCTCAGACACTGTGGCTTCCCCTGGACTCCTGGCTCCAGGCTCGGGTAGAGGACAGAAAAGTGCCTGCTTCCAGCCTTTCTCCTCAACTTGTGCTTTTGCTTCCTTGAAGGTTTGCCTAAGGGCTGGGAGATGGATTCAACCCCGGAAGGAGCTGTATACTTCATCAAGTGAGTAGGTCATTTCCTTCTTCACCTCGCCTTTGGTCTGCCTTTTGTCCTAGCCACAGATGCCTCCTAGGGAGGGGAAGTAGCTGAAGGATCTGGTATATCACTTTAGGTACAGCCACTGGGTCTGTGAGTGGCCCAGAGATGCTGTGAAACACCGATAGATAACACGTGTGTCATTTGACCTAAGTGTGACTAGTAGCGTCAGTCACGGAAAGGTTTCTGGGGTAGGGTCCATGGAGTGCTTGGCTGGACTGAACCTCAGAATGACGGCTCATCCGTGTGTAGGAGAGGGTGTCATAATATGCTAGGCAAGCACTGAAGCGAAAGACATGGGGTATTGAGATGTGGCGTGGGGTGTGGAATGTTAGGGAGCGAGTTCTTGGTGGAAGGAAACAGGCTAGCAATGGCAAGCTAGGCCCAGCTGCTCTTGTTCTCCTGGATGGGAACCATGTGGCCCTTGGGATGTGGGGTGTTCTCTTTCTTCTAAGGGATTGGCCAGGTCATGTGAGCAATGAGTCTTGAGTCGGGGTGACTGAGGGGAGGCCTTGGGAAGCTGCCTGGCTAGAGGCAGGCAGGCAGAGGATGCAATTCTGATTTTAGAGGCACACACACACACCTGGACCCAATTCCTTCTGCTGGAACTCTGTGTCTGTCTTTCTCCATCTCCAAGACAGCTCAGTTCTAGCTTCCTGCCAGAAGTGGCTCTCTGTGCCCAAACCTGTGGGCTTCTTTTCCTAACCACCCCTATATTCCGTAGCCACCAAAGAGTCCAGCTGCCCACTGCCCTGGCACTGGGGTACTGTCTCTGCCAGAGATAGAGAGGAGGAAGGTACCTTCTAGAGAGGAAGGCCTCTTTTGAAATCCTCATCCCTATCAGGGCCTAGTGATGCTGGCCTGTAATTCTGGCTACTCAGCAGACCGGCAGGCAGGCAGATCCCAAGCTAAAGGCCCACTTAGACTACACACTGAGTTCTAGGCCAGCCTGGGTAACTTAGGGAGCCCTAGGTGAAAACATGTTGGAGATAAAGCTCAGTGGTGGACTAGGTGACTTTTTTCTCAGTGCCTGTCTCGGAACCATGGCATCAGCTTGATTATGAACCAGACACATGTTATTTATTTACTTTGTTCCCATGTTTGTCTGTGTGTGCCACATGTGTGCAGTGCGACCAGAGGCCATATCTCCCAGGAGAGGCTAAGTCCCCCAGTACTGGGGTTACAGATGGCTGTGAGCTGCCATGTGGCCACTGCAGGCCTGTGCTGTCCCGTCTGCCTGGAGCATGCTCTCTTCCTTCTATACCCAGGCATCTGGCTCCTATTTGTCAGTTGGTTCTTTTGTGATCCTGGGGCCGGAACCCAGGCCAGGCACAGCACAGCCGAGCCCATGTGAGCTTGCTGACCTTTTGGTAGTGTTCCATTGCTGAGTAATGTATGAGGAGAGCATCTGTTCACTTTGTTTTCCGTTAACCTGGTATCTTTCCACTGCACTACAGGAACCCAGTATTTACTGAAATGGGTGGGTAGGTGGGAAAAAAGATGGGATGTAAATAAGGACACAATTAATTACTGCTGCAGATACCGCTCTGTAACTTCCACCAGAGCCCCTCCATTCCGTGTGTGCTGACGGGAATTGTTTTCCCGGCGTCCCTCTTATAGGCAGACCACCATAGCAGAGAGCCTTCCCCGCCCTTTCCTCCCTACCCTCCCATGGATCCATCTGCCTCATAAGCTGCCTAGTTCCCAGCATCTCTGCGACTACAGCCTGAGCTCATTTCTTATAGTTCCTCCATTGATCTTCTTGTCCCGGATCAGAATGCTGCAGGAGTCCTCCCGGCCCCAATATAAGGTGTCATTTCCCACTGAAAGCCTTAACACATTTCCATTGCTTACAGGGCAAGGTAGATTCCACCTTCCAGCCTTACCAGACCGGGCTCAGCGCTGTCCCTGTCAACCTCACTCTCCTCCAGCCATACCAAGTCTCTGGGGTTCCCTCCTGATACTCCTCCCTTCTGCCTGAGGAAGGCCTGTGCCAGCCTCCTTGTCCCTCCCATGTCCTCTCCCCTGTGGGGAAGCCCGTGCGCATCTCAGCTGTCTATGTCCACACGTGCTAGTTTCCTCCATCAGCCATTCTCCATCCCTGGCATGCACCCAAGTCACTGCAGAGTTTTTGAAGTCCAGATCGCTGGCTTTCCCCCAGAGTTCCTCACTCAACTTGACTTCTCAAGTTGAACAGGCTCCCAGCTGATGGGGATCTGCTGTTCTGGGACCATCTTGAGAACCATGAGATTCCTCAAGAGGCAGGGATGCCTAATGGACTCTGGAGAGAGACAGTGTTGTCTTATTGTGTATTGTAATGAAAATGCCCACAGCCTGAGACAGCAGTAGCCACGCTCAGAGCTCAGGGCTTTACTACATTGCCTCATTTAATACTTTGGTAAAGAATGGTGAGTCATCTCTGTTTTTAGCAAATAATAGGAAAACTGAGCTGTCAGAAATTGACCAGGGAAGGGATGCTGCGGGTGGTTTTACTGCTGTGTGCTTACCATGATGTCACAGCTGCCCTCGGCATCCTTTGTGCCTGGAGGGCATCTTGCCCCTCGCCGAATGAGCACACCAATGGAAGAATGGCTCCCGGACATCTTATTTTCTATGAACAATCGGTTCTCACCACGGCCTCTGACGTTTGGTTTGGGGGTAAAGTAGAATCTATGAAGACTCTGCTCTTGGATCTCAAGAAGTAATTTAAGAAAAGTCAGATGTCCAGACAGTTTGGTAAGATGTTTCTTCTAGCACGGGGAGTGGCATTTCAAGGAGCAAATAAATACTGGATTTTTAACAAGTATGACAACTATATCTCATTAAGCCTGTCCCTTCTTGGTACTTGGGAGGTAGGGCTCATGGTACCTGCTACTGATGTATTGTTCCAGTGTCCTGCGATTTTGTCATTCACCAATTATGGAAGGGATGTGAGAAGAGACAAGGCTAATAGAGAGGTGGCTAGAGCTCATCGTGGGGCTGCATGCACTACCACACTAATCCACAGGAGGGTAGCAGAGCACACATCGTCTGCAGACCAGGCCTTCAAAAGGATTTGTTGGGTGGTGACCCATTGTATCACTTGCTAGGAAGTGGGGGGGGGGGGGGGGGGGGCATCTTGACCTTCCCTTACTGTCACCATGGGTTTGGTGGACTTCTGAACTGGCTGTGTGAAAGCAATCCCTAGGCAATAGGAAGTCTGGCCACTGTCTCCTGCTTCCTTCACTAGCAGCCTGTTGTGGATCAGGCCTCTCCTGTCTTCAAGAGTGCCTCTCCCTCCAGAGTCGTCAGGGCAGGAGCCATGGCAGAGAGGTGGCCTACAGAACCACACCCTGATAACCTTTGCCACTCCTGGTCCTCCACCCAGGGAGCCCGACCCAACCCTAGCACACCTTCCTATTCTGGTTTGAATACTTCCTGCAGGAAGGCGCCAAGTGGGCAACTGGACACCTACTGGGACCTCTGGTGCATCCAGGAGCTGCTCGGGAGCAGCTAGGAGGCAGGCATACAGAAGCCAGGGCTCTGTCCACTGGTGTTCAAGAGCTGAATGATGAAGCCGGCATAGTGTAGTTTCCTAGAGGCCGTGCAGGCCGTCAATTGTTCAGCAGACCCTCAGCCTATGGGTCGCCAGAGGAGACACGCTAGGTCCCAAGGAGGAGCCACCAAGAGCTGTTCTGCTGCCCTTTTGGACAGGATGGAAGAGAGAAGCCACAGGACAGCAATTCTGATATAGTGGCCCTGTGTATCTGTCCTAAAAAAAAAAGGCAAACGTCACTCGGGGACAGGAAAGAATGAGACAGATAAGCAGAGAAGAAGACAAGGGATCGTCTGAGGTGCGGACAAACCTCATTTACAGATGGGGAAAACTGAGACCCAGCAGTCAAGTGCCCAGTGCAAAGGCACCGCATTAGTCAGGGGTGGGCTAGTCTGGGACCTGAGTTGTCTGAGTGTATGTGGGTAGTGGTGATGACCTTTGAAGGGCAGTGTAGAGTGAGTGAGGTACGCTTGGACCTGGAGCAGAAGCCAGGGCCAGAGGCGCTTTTTTTGCGGGGAGAGAGCCTCCTTCCTCAGCCTTTCCCAGGGAGCAGTTTGCTTCTCGGCTGGGCTAACAGAGGAAAGATTTAGACTTGGCAGGGAACACTTGCTTCCTCAGCTCTGCCCCATAAGCCCTTGCACATCTCCCATTTTGCTCCCCAGCAGGAAGGCAGTGTGCCCAGTACAGTCATCCATTTGGCTTCTCATACCTCCTGGAGCCCGTGTCCCCTAGAAGCAGCCTCCCTTCTGGCTCAGGCTTCTAGGTGTACCCGAGCTTTGTCTGGAGCTCTGGCCCTCTGTCTGCCAAAGAGGAAACCCGCCCAGCAGGCCTGTCTGTTGGCTGCCCTCTCCAGTTGCCTGAGGACTGGGTAGCATGTGGGCTGGGGTCCTTGTCTCCTTCCATTCCCCTCTAGCATACTGGGATCTCTCTTTCCCAACCCCACTTTGCCCTATCCACTTCTCAAGGCCTGAGACTCCCTAAGAGCCCCTCATTCCTAGCTTTCTAGAAGCCGATCCAGCCCCACCTGTACCAAGCATCCTTGCCAAGTCCTGGAGAGCTGGGTAGGTGAGCTGGTCCTGGCACAGGGCCCTTACTCACAACTTCCCTGCCCCTTTAGCTAAGAGGCTTTTCCTGAGTCATTGAGGACCAGCCTGGCAGCTCATCTAGCTGAGGAGAGGGGAGGGAAACCCTAGGCTACCGTGTGCTGACTTGCTTGGGGGAGGGATGAGAAGGGTTGTCTCTTAGGTACCTCCCAGGCTCCTGACTTTACCCCATTAAATCCCACCTATATCTTCACTCCTCTAGTCTATCTCTTCCTGGGTGCTGGGAGGGTGGTGCTCTCTTGTGCCTTCTAAAATAGATTTTCTTAAGACAAGTACTCGAGGTGGCAAAAATGATGTTCACACGGGGATGCTCACACCCTGTGATAAGACTCA